GACACATTGGTAGACATTTAAAACTCATTATTTTGATGTTTTAAAATAAACCAATACATAAATCATTTTAATAAATAAATAAATTGTCATTTAAAATTACATTTATGTTTTAAAATGTAGTTGAATAAAACAAATAAAATAGTGAATAATTGATTTTCAGTCAAATTTGGTCATGAAATTATAAAAACTGATTGGATGTTATTCATATGGGGAACACATTGCACTTTTGACATTGCAATGCATTTCTATCTGCCATTTATCTTTGAAGAAACTGTTAAATTATGCAGTAACAATTACAAACTGTGCTGACTGCAAGTCAGAACTGAGGCAAACCTAATTCTGAACATTATTATAAGTGAGATTAATAGTTTAAACGAACATAACAGTTGCTAACGGAAATATTTTCTGAAAATAACAACTTACATTTCTGTCTGTTACTTATATCTTATGGCTTCAGAAGACTCAAAGCACAGCGCACATCTTATTCACTACCTTTATGATACTTTTCCGGTAGCAGTGGGCACTATTAATTATCATGGAAAATAAACTTGATGAAAGCTATGTAGCACAGCATGAATATTACAAATGTCTTCTTTTGTGATCCATGGAGAGAGAGAGAAAAATAGAATACTGGCTTGGAACAACATTGCGGGCAATAATACATAATGACAGAATCTATTCTTTCAAATAAAGTTGCAGTTTCCAAGGCTGATGTTTACTCTGTGAACGATTCGAATGGTATTTTATTTGTCAGTTTAATTATGTTTCATTTTTATGAGGCAAAAGAGCTAACCATAGGTGTGATTAGGAGAGAAAAACGGCTATATCACAGATTGCTCGAAACACATTATAGTTATTCAGAACAGTTAGGATACTTATGAGCCTTGGATGATGTTATGATTTATGACTCTCCTTCTCGAACACATACTCACCCCAAAAGACCAGAAATAAAACACTTAGCGCCAAAGCTAATGGGACAACGAACTAATGAGTCCTTCTTGTTTGTGAAGCTCCTTGACCTTTGTGATTTTGGGATCCGGTACTGATACTACAGCTCTGTTGGACAGGGAGCTATAATGGCCTGGTTAACTATAATGAGGTCTTAGTGCCTTTTTTGCTGCTGTGCGAATGTCCTATTAGATTCAGTGTTATGAAATGCAATGTACAGTGCTCTAGTGTTTATTCCTATCTAGGCAAACTTAATTTTCAGATTAAGATTTATATTCCAATTTTCTGTAAGACATCTACATGTTACGCAGTTTCTGGACTATTTCATGAAATTAGCATATTCACAATAAAGAAGCATTTTATTTTCTAGAAATACTGGAGATAATCGTTCCATTTATTATGCCACGTCAATTCAACAAATCTCATTCATGTCTTTAACAATAAAACACAATATGTAACATTAGAATAAGAAATAATGTGTTGTTTCAACTTAGAAAATGTGTTCGTGCTTGACTTAAAATATTAAGTTGAGTTGGATATTTAAGTTATTTCTACAAATTTTAAGTTGTTTTATAACTAATTGCAGCAACATTTATTTATTAAAAGTATTAAATTGTATATTTATGTTGTTATGCTGTTAATATATACTACCGGTCAAAAGTTTGGGGTCATTATTTATTATTTATTTTTTTAAAGAAATTAATACCTTCATTCAGCAAATATATATTAAATTGATCAAAATAGACGTTTATATTGTTACAAAAAGTGTTCAAGTTTCACATGCTGTTCTTCTGAACTTTCTATGATTAAAGAATTCTTGAAAAACAATGATCACAGTTTCCAAAAAAAAAAAATTAAGCAGTGCAGCTGTTTTCAACATTTATAATAAGAAGAACTGTTTATTCTGCACCAAAACATCATATTAAAAGGGTGGATAAAAGCGGAAGTTGTTGGTCAGGGGGTTATGAGTTGTGCAGCAGGGGTCCCATTTCCTTTAATAAATTTTCAGTAATTATGGCAAATCGCTAATTAAATCACAGCACGATTCCAACACTTGATGCAAGCAGTCAGCTTGACTGATTCATTCAATGTCTTTCTCAGAACAATCCTATCAAACAATCACAGACCAAAACCTACAACTTCCTCAAAAATCAGATGGAAATGATAAGCAAACTATCCTTAACCCTACAGCCTGATTGGCTACAGCCTGATTGGTTGATTAGAATGCAGTTCCAGGACCGACAAGGATATTGATCCAGGAACATGTCCTTCTCAGGTAAATCACGTTAAGTGTCAAGGGTAACAGTGCTCCAGCCACCTAAAGATTCATGTTCAGGTCTGGGGAGACACTAGTACTCAACTGCAGAGTTGACCTAGGCTATTTTTGGAATGGAATACTAGCTTGAAATACCAAATATCATGCAACATTGTATATATTTCCAAGGATATTCAAATGAATTCAGCGCCAATAGTCAAGAGCGAATTGCATTATGGGATGCCATATTTCTGCGCTTTTGGAAGATAGAAGGTTCCAATAGGAGGTTTTCACAACGATGTCATAAGAACCATATTTGGCTCCCAAAAGAACCTTTCAGAGAAGATTTCTTTTCATAATCTATGAACATTTTTTCAACTGTAAAGAACCTTTTGAGCAAAGAACCATCGATGGTTCTTCATGGAACCATCGATGCCATTATAAGAACCATTATTTTTGTGTAGCAGATATTCCTGCAGAAAATTGGCATCTGTTGCCGTATACATAATAGCCTATAATAGCGTTATTAAGTATGCTGTTTCTAATACAGCCCTACCTTCAAAGCCTGCATTGAGACATTGATTGCTCTATGCCTAGACGTCCGATTGCATGAACAAACATATGTAGATTTCGTTTTAGTACACGATGAGCATTCTCAGCCACGTCTGATCTTCCCTTAACAACTTATTGATCTGGTCCTCACAATTCAGAGTGTGTCTCCTCTTCTGATCTGCCTCTCTTCTACTCTCTGTACAACAGGTTGTGGTCCACTCTGAATAAGACTATCCCAGAAAATGAGGGAATTATGCAAATTAATCCCATCTATGACAATGGATTATGAAGAATCGCTCCCTCACATTTTCTCTGGCTTTCTGTCTTTTTCCGATAGGGAACGTCTTAAATCCCAGAATAATGAGTCATCCAACATAATTCATTCACTCTCTCCCACTTTTCTGAAACCAAACCCCGCAGCACTTCATCAACATTCTCGTCATCTTAACGTTTTGCGACTTAATATTTCTACATTATGCAACTGTTGTGGAAACAAGTCTTTACACATGACCTGAATGAGCAAACGAAAACAATGCAAAAGACTGAGAGATTAGAGCTGCATTACAGGATAAAATCCCCGAAACCTCAGAGGAGCTAAAACAAGAATGTTTTCTGACCCCTAGTGGTCACGGAGGTAAAGTTTGTGATGCCACAAAACAACATTTTCTGACACCGATGCCTGTTAACTTGCTCTTGCTCTCAGATATTGCACTGACCTTCACACTACGAATAAGAGAAACCATAGTTGCACGTTTGAAGAAATCTCCTAGGTTTTGGCTTTGAGTTTCCCTGTCTCTCTTTCTTTGTTAATTTGAGCTTTTTGTGCATTCAAGAAACACATTGTGAGATCTTGAGATTTCCCTCAGTGGACTTTATCATGTCTAGCCTTAAAGTGTAAATATTTGAAAGCATAAGTCTTGCTCTTTTGTTTACTGAACTATTTTGACATGCGTTCAAAAGCAAAGCTCCCTTCCCAGTCCATTTATGAAAGCTAAGATGCAAAAACAGCTCATTAAAATTCACTTGTCAAGGTTATAGTGTCACAATCATTAATACATTTTGAAAATTAAACAAATAAGTTAAACCTATGACCCAAAAGAAGATATGTTGAATGTTATTAAACGGACAAAATCACAAAATGTTCATTTTTGGGTGTACTATCCCTTTAAATAATTGACTGCCCACATTTAAATATTAATGTATAATTATATTCATTGGCCATCCTAATCAACAACAATGCAACATGCCAATAAGGAGAGAAAAGTTATAACAAAAAGCATCTATACTTATAGAAGTCTTAAAGGCAAGGCAAGGCAAGTTTATTAGCACATTTCATGGCAATTCAAAGTGCTTTACATATGAAATAATCACAAAATAAAAGCAAGGAAAATCAAAAAGTTATTCAAAAGCTTTACATAGAAAGGAATTATAACACTATAGCAATTCATAGAGCTTTGCACAGAAAATAGACAGAAAATAAAAGCAGGGGGAATTAAAGCAGTTATAACAGGAATTAAAGGAGATAAATGATACAGTTGTAAAATTAATTAGAGTAAAATAAATTATAATAGTAAAAAGATGATACATAGAATAAACTTCTCATCTGGTAAAACACCGGTGTATCTTATTTTGACTCTGAGATTTCCCCATGACGGTCAGTATTCTTCAGTGGAAGAAAGGCACAGTAGGCACACTTAAAGGCACAGTAACCAGAAGTGTAAATGTAAGCATCAGAGAGAGGAAAATAGTATGGAAAATATTTTCTTGACATTATAATCGAACTACTGGGGGCAAAAAATAAGCCAAATGTCAAATATGGCACCGTTGAAGTTGAAGTGTGTAATTTCTGCCCTACGATTGGCGCCAGAATTATAAAAAATAGTGATGATTTTAAACAAACCCTCCTGCACTTTCACATTGGTCACACAAAAACAGATCCCGCCCCACACTCACGTTAGTGGTTGAGCCAATGTTGCTGTTGTTGGGCTGGTTGGGATTGTGAAAGTGCCACATAGAGATACGGTGTTAGCACTTTACTGGGAAATTAACCTTCAAATGAATTACTTAAGTCTCTGAAAGTATATTAGCAAAAGAAGGAAAGTAAAAAAACATTTAGTTTGTGAGCTCTAACCCTTTTATAGACATAGAACAAGCTTGAAGAAAAATGAAAGTTTAATTTTTTTGTGTGACCTGCAACACAGATCAGCCACAAAAAAAAAAAAAAAGGTTGGAAAAATGTTCTCACCAGACTTCATGGCAGACGAGGGACATTCCTGTTCATGATACCAAGCCTAAATTAGATTTCTTCCCTTTCTGATTTAATAAAGGTATTCCTGGTTGCGCAGGAGCACGGAGAGCGGGAGATGTGTGTGGACTTTCAAGTAGGTGCCGCAGTCCGTAATGAGGAAGTGGAGGAGGAAACGGGATTCTACCACATACCTGTTCCCTTTATCCAGCTTTATCTGGCCAGGGGAGATTGCACCGGTGTTTAATAATCACCTCACATCCAGCTTGTTGAGCCACATAGCTCAACTTGAGTTGGAATATGTTCATCCTTTAGACGAGTGAGGGGCGGCTGGATGATAACTAGGCGGGAGAAGTTCACACACACAGAGAGAGAGAGAGAGAGAGAATGCACACCTCATAGGACTGTGATTAGCAAACACACCCAATTTGCAAGACAGACAAGGTAATCATGCAAGCTGCTTGTGTAGGCCTTACACGGAGGCGTAGATCTGGATCTCCAGAGTGGATTAAATCTATCACATCATGTTAGTGAGATGGAGGACAGAAGAACACAGAGAGAAAGTGCACTGCACACCAATTAAAGACCATCTAAAATGGGGTCAAATATTCAAAATGAGACATGAAATGTGTTAGCATTCCAATTCATCTACACATCTGATGTCAAAAATGGAGCCAGACTTGGTTATTGTTTTATTATGGGAAATCTCAGCTCACGGGCCTCTGCAATGCTTGAATGAACAAATCTGATTAAGGCTTTTGATTCAACTCATTCAGCCGCTAAGAACAAAATAAAATTGGATGTTATTTCATTGTAACATTCCATCAGACACATCACATTTCACATGAAATTGAAACTAAGATGTGTGAATCTTGGACCATTTGAAAGCTTTACACAACAAGAATCAGAATGCTACGCCTGATCAGAACAGAACTGCAGTGCTGCACTTCCACCTAGAGGCCAAAGGCATCACTGCAGGAGACTCTGACCTCCAGGATCCACTATTATTCAATGCTGTAATGTTTTTAACGTTCCTCTATCATATTTGAAACTTGCATTCGGGCCTCTAAATTATCAACGCGATCAAAACTGCTGCTAAATCTTCTTCATGTCTTCTCTTTGATTGATAGTTCTTTTTCAGCAAGTAAAATGCGTTTTTAATGTAATTCAGTGTGTGGCACATGCTTCTTTTGCTGTGAAATCTATGATTTTTTTTATAAACTTTGCATATGTATCAAATATGATAAAACATACTTTTAGCAGACCTGTTTGTTTGTAATTTCTGTGCAAAAAATAATGGTCAGAATCTGCATTGGCCACAAAATAAAAAAAGAAGAAAAAATAGTCCCTGTCCCTAAACTTGTACCATTGGCCAATGTTGCTGTAGCCTACTAAGCTGGTAGGGATACTCAAACCGAATTTTTAAAAGGGACACAGTTTTACATTTCATGGAAATGTATCGTTGTCTTTGCATATTAAGCTGGAAATTATTTCAAACGTTTTAATAATAATAATAAACACTTCACCTACTGCATAATGCAAATCTGTACTGTATTCTATATTCATATGCACAGCACTAAGGCTGGAAAATGTATCTATTCATTCATCTCCTCTCCTTTCTCAAATCATCACTGTGATTGGCTTTAATTAAAGCAATAAAACCCTCAAATAAATGAACTAATGACAGTGCTGACTGCATATTATCTTTATCGTAACAGAATGAATTCAACTTTAACCCTGTGGCAAACCTAACACGAATGTTTACTTTTCCCAGTAATTAACATGATCAGCTAATTGCCTCTAAGTCATTCAATTTCTTAGAGCTGACTTCTAAAGGATACAAAGAAATGCTGCGTTCGCTCAAATGTGTTGAAATTTGCAGACCTTTTAAAATAACTACTTTCCCAGTGATATACAAGACAGAGATCATAGAGTCTGGATCTACTGTACATGACCGTACCCTTAATTTACGCTTCTGTCTCTGAGATCCACTGCATTTATATTCAGTTTTCTTACACCTCTCTCTGAACTCACTTGACCTCCAAACGCTCCAGCTAGTAGATCCGTCTTTTTTTTCGGTTCCATTTTTCCCTAAAACAGTGAGCCTTTTCATTTATATTTGAACGTCCCCTGCTACTATCGATGAATGTTTGTGTCTGAGTGACACATGTTGGTTAATAAATCCATTCAATAGGGCTGGGGAGAGATAAGGTAGTTCTATTCTATCAGGCATCTATGTCCTAAAAATCAAAAGCACTATGCACTATTACATGCATTTTGCACCACTACACTAACTGTGCCATTGGAAGTGGACAGTTCTTGCTGCGAAAACTATGAGAGCTGGCTGCATTTCTTGAACAAGTACCAACAACATCAGGGTCTAGGGTGGTGCGACTGGCCCTGTGCTTTAATAATATAATACAATACATTTATATGCAGTTCAAAAGTTTGCAGTCAGTAAGATAAGATAAAAATATTTGAAAAAAAAAAAGAATAGTTTTATTCAGCAAAGTTGCAATTTCATTGATAAAAAGTGGGGAAAAAAGACAATTGTAATGATTTCTGTGAAATTTCTATAAATCAAAGATTCAAGAAAGAAAAAAATAACCATGTTTTCAACAATAATAATAATAAGAAATAATTCTTGAGCAGTAAATCAGCATATTATGATGATTTCTGAAGACTGGAGTAATGTTGCTGAAAATTCAGCTTTGCGTCAGGAATAAATGACATCTTAAAATATATTAACATTTGAAAAAAGCTTCAAAATATTACTGTTTTTACTGTATTTTTGATCAGACAAATGCAGCCTTGGTGAAGTGAGCCTATAATTAAAAGTGCAGCATCTATCCTTTAGAAGTCACAAACCTTATATAATAATATAATATTCCTCTTTAGAGAAAAACTAAAATAGATAAATACTTTAAAACCTGTGTCATTACGAAATATAAACATGCAGATCCGATGTTGACCACTAGGAGCAGTAGAGTTATTCTGTCTCTGAGAAATGTCACATGAAAAAGTCATAGGGTAAAGTCTGCTTGTAGTTGTATGGGTCCGGCTTGTTTACCATACAGTTAACCATTCACCTGATTATATATTATATTAAAAAAAGCCTGTTGACTCATCACTACAGAGCCGCAGAAGAACACAGTTTCTACAGCCTTTCAGCCCACATACTGAATAACTCAGCAGTGAATTGCAAGTTAATTACTTTAATCACATTTTATACCAGGCTGTAAACTATTTTACCAAATGTCAATGCAGTATAATGGCATATACGAAGGTTTTGCCCTTCGTGTCTTTATAGTGGGAGTTTTACCTTTATGTGGGCGAAGAATGTCATGGTCAAGTTTCAGAACGTTTCAGAAGGGGACTGAGCTCGTTCATTCACTTCATGGAGATCTCGGAGCAAGGGAAGATCAGAGGGGTCTTAGAGATCACAGACATCGACTTGTTTAGTGGTTTTCAAATTGTGCAGCAGATCCTGGGTTAGAGAGTGATGACATTCAAGTAAACTGAATGATAAAAAAAATGAAGTCAACCACACAATGTAATAAAAAGTGCATTTTGCATCATGATTAGGCCTACCCACACCAGTTTGAGACATGTTCTCAAATGACTATGTGAGTCTGACCTGATGCCTTTTGGTCATGATCCAACAGATAAAATATAATGTTAATAAGGCTTGTGTGATAAATGATATGATAATATAACACTAGAACTGAACTTAAAATTGAATGTAGTGCTCTTTAGTGGAGTAAGGTGATTGTTTTGACATTCACATTACTACTCAATAAAAAAAATGAGTTGATCAGAATGCAGGGAAGCCGCAGATAGAAAAGAGCTGAAAGAAATGCCTTCTAAGAACTGTGATGAACATGGAAAAAATGACTGTTTGACTAGGTTTCCTATGGCAAAACATTGAATGCGAATGTAAAAGTCTTTCAAATGACTCTTGGACGACTTTTAAAATTCATATCCCGCCTCACAGCTGACCAGGTCCAGCAGAACCGGTTCCAAAAGCCGCTTGCCCTCGAGCGCTCATATGCTTGCCCAGTGGTTGGTCAAAAACATAATGCTGCATCCATACAAAACTGTATTTGTTGGGTCAAGACATTGCATTACATTAAAAAAAGCAATCCGCTTTTGGTTCATCAGATTTAAATACATGAATACAGCAGAAAATCCAATAAAATGCAGACTGATATTTTAAATAATTTCAGCATAAAAAGCAATCATTGCCACTAAATATCTGTAAAGTAAGATTTTTTTTTCACATTCAAAAGAAGTCTCGTACGCTCACCAAGGCTGTATTTATTTGATTAAAAATACAGTAAAAACAATTGTGAATTGTAAAATATTATTTCAATTTAAAATAACTTTCTATATTAATATTATATTTTAAAATGTCATTTATTTCTGTGATGGCAAAGCTGAATTTTCAGCATCATTACTCCAGTCTTAAGTCACATGATCCTTCAGAAATGATTCTAAAATGCTGATTTGCAGCTCAAGATACATTTATGCTGCTTAATTATTATTATTTATTTATTTTTTTTTGCAGAAAACTGTGACACCAGGATTCCTTTATGAATAGAAACTTAACCAGCATTCATTTGAAATATAAATCTTTTGTAACATTGCAAATGTCTTTTGATCAAAATAATGCATCCTTGCTGAATAAAAGCACAGAAATTAAAAAAATAATAATTAACAGTATGTATCTAACCAGTTTATCCCATCCGGATGTTCATTTAACATTCCGAATTTTTAATTAAGACTTGTTTCATGCAAATGCTATCAGTCACATACCAATCCGCTGTCAGGACGCCGACCAGCATCATAATGGACATCACTTGCACGTTCAGGCTCAAGGGAGCGTATTTCCATCAACACATTCAGTTCCCACTGCTCACAAGCTGCTTGAGACCGCATGGGCCGAACGCTAGATGTCAACATGAACTCAGTGCTGCTCATTGAATTAATATTCAAAATTAGTCAGCCTAAGCGAAAATCTCATCATCGTGTCACGAGCATGATTATAAATTGCTCACTGATTGACAGTTTGAGCTTTTAATTATGCAAATCAAATTTTACACAGGGTTTTCAGTGAATTCAGCAGATGTTAAGCTATAGCATTTATTCACACTGCGTACACGATGGGGACATTTGCTTAACCACGGTCTTCCCCTTCAAAAACACAGAACCAGGATTGATTAGGCTATTACCATGGTCAGTATTCGTATATGCCGCTTCTGGACAGTGTTGGGTCTTGGGTGTAAAGCATTACTATAATTAATTACTGTAATTTAATTACTTTTCCTTTGGAAAAGTAAAG